CCTCGAGCTTCGTCTGGAGCCTGGCGTGTCAGCAAGGGCATGCAGCAAGTCTTCAAGGGCTTGTGTTTCCGGGCTCTGCACTTAAACATGAGCAGCATGACGACATATACTGAACAACAGTCTTTCTCAATAATCACCTAGGCCAGGTAATGGTGTAAGTTAAAAGGCCTCCAAATCGAGGACGCCGGGTTCGCCATCACTGTTGTCATTGCCGTCGTCGTTGTCGTCGAGGGAATGCGGCGCTGCACGTCTAGTCTTGAGACTTTTGTTCTGCCGTCTCTTGAATGCTTCCGCTGCCACTGTGCTTGCATCAGACGCACTCAGGTTCTGGTGTTTCGTTAAGAATGAAATGAGGTTGGTCTTGAATTCTGCTTCTTCGACAGCTTTTGCAGCTTTCTCATCATCTCGTGCCTTTCGCAGTGCGCTAGCCTGCGACCTTGCGGCTTTCGCGCTAGCTTTCGGTGTTGAAGCTCGGACACGCTTCTTGCCCAACGTCACCGGTGTCATTGAGATTTCGAGAGGTAAGGCTTCGGGTGCCGCGGCATCATTGTCATCAAGTGCTACAACTTGGAGCGGGCGCGGTGGATCATGTAAACGACGAAGGTGAGGGAACATAGCCACATGACGCACATCCAGAGGCGGCAGTTCTGGGCGGGTCTCATTCACCCACGAGCGAAGCTCGCGTGCTGCATCTCTCATGTTGAAGGGCGACTGCTCAATCATTTCGGCGTGCCTCTCAATCATGTTGCGGTATTTTTTGGTCTTGACCAGCCGTGGAAGCATGCCTCAGCTTCGAAGACTAGGAATCGGAAATGATAACCCCGGTCGCAGTCCAGTGTGACTTCTGAGAAAGTGACAGTCCCCGATATAGAGAACAGAACTAGGTTGAACGTCGCAATAACACAACACTTGGATTCGGATGTGCTTTGGTTTAATAGCTTTTAAAGCCGAGTGGCCAGTGGGCAGGGCTGCCGGCAGAGAATCTAGCTGCTGACTTGTCAAAAGTACCAGACTTTGCTGAAACGCAGCGTCCGACATGTACTGCTTGCACCTGCAGGATGCTAGCCGACTTTATAGGTATCGCAAATTGCAGCCTTGCTAGAAAATACGTAATTGTCGATTCGTTCTGTACCACAATTTCTGATGGGTTATTCTGTTCCGCCGGCCTAAGGATGACATCTGTGGCAGAGCCTTGCTGCCGCATCGGATGCGAGTCTGGAAGGCCTGCAAGACTTGATTGGCGAGGTTACTAATTGCGTGTTTCGTATTTCTGGGATTCCATGGCTATGATTATGACGAGCTCACTAAGTTAAGGCAATTCAATGCAAATGCTCTCAAACGTAAGAAGGCCAGGGGGGTGAAAGACCAACAATCTATAAAAGTATGAGCAAGAATGTGATAAACGGCTGATGCTTGCGGACGGGACTATTTCTTTTCTGAACAAAGTCCGGTCCTCGGGTTGATTACACTGTTTGGCAAGGCAATACCGGGAAACATATCCAACAAGGAACGGCGCAAGGCCTCGGCGCTGACGGAATTCGAAAACTCGGGGAGCTGCACGACCCGTGTGGCCCTTCATGTGCACACCAAGAAATTCCAGGTGGGTTTTCCAATCCCTTTGCTGATCCAGGATGATGGCTTTCCGCATTTTCTCATGCGTGCGAGTTCCCGTATCAAGGAAACGCTGCAGGGCAACACGGAAGTCCTCCATGGTTTGGGCAAAGTGGAGCCTTTTCCGGACCCAGGTAGTCATCTCTCCGAAAAAGCCATCAACATCCTTGGGAGGGGTTCGTCCCAAGGAACCAAATCAGACTATCAACCTTTAAAAGACCATCCGCCGAAACTTTCAATTACATGACACGAGCTGCTTGCCTTCGTCGAGACTCCTCATGCGTGTGTCCCACACGCAGGAAGGATATGGTCAGGGATTTGACGACGCCCACTTGCGTCAATGCGGCTGCCCATGTGAAGACGCTGGCATTTTTGTTTGTTGAACTCGCATTGTCGCCCTGCACGTGTACATCCATGCTGTGCAAAGGCACTTTGCTATCGTGCAACACGGTCAGCAAGTGGCTCAGCTCCTCCACCGTCGTCGACCCGCATTGGGATACATCAGAATGCCCAATGTAGAGCAAACAAGCGTGTCCATGACATATGCAAGCTGTGCAGTGGAGCCGAGGGCGCTGAAATTGGTCGAATTGTTTGCTTTTGAAGTGCCGTGACCGCGGCCATGCACACTTCTGTTGATCGATTGAATCGATGATTATCGATAACACTTTCGACCCACTCGCAGCCCCCGCTCTTGACAAGCCTCTGACACGCCAGTAGCACTGCCTGTCCTGATACTGAGCCGCTAAGTGCTGCTCGTACATGAGCCGCTGCCGTGTTTGCGCCGTCAAGTTGTTTCCCAAGCAGCGTATGAGCAGCTTATGCTTCGTGCAAACACTGCAGACAGCATGCTGCTGAGCCCCGCGAAACTCCATGTGCGGGTAGTGCTGCCTCCACACCGCAACAAAAGTAAAGAAACTGCAGGCCCTGTTTCCCAAAGCCAGGTACTGCCGGTATTGATCGAACATCGAGCCAGGAGGAAGGAAACGCTTCTTGTCATCGACCACCTGTGTCTCGTCGGTCGGTGCGCTTTCTAATCCAAGCAATATGTTGGATTGCTTGGCATCTTCCACGTCTGAGTCAGAAAAGTCTTCACGTTTGTTGGTATACTCTGGCAGGCTCTCTGCAACTGAGTTGTACAGGGTTTCCAAGTACGATGCAACTTCGCCAGCTTTGAAGCTTCGTTGGGTGTTTTTCTTTTTCTTCAAGTACCGTACATCTATGTCTGGCACATGCTTGCCTTCCATGACATTCTTCAGGAGGCCCATAAGCCGAGGAGTTACACCCATCAGGTGCAGGCGTGCAAAGGCGCCACGGCACATGTCAACATCACCTGCAGGGATGATAATAAAAGCAGCCGTACAGCAATGAACGTCGACCATGCTAAGCTAAGAAAGACATGGCAAGTATTTTTTATTCCGGGTTGCAGCAGTGGGCAGGGTTTCTCAGGCAACCTCGCCTATAGCAAACTTCATCTTAAAACCTGCTTGACGGCCATCCGATGATTTGAAGCCTTGCTGCATGGCCAGGTCGCGGAGTCTATGGAAGACCTCGGCTTTGGCAGTGAATCTGCAACGTGTAGGGTTTAGGGTTTAGGATTTAGACATCCCTAAAACCGAAAACTGGTTCACCCCGAACCCTTTAACCCCAAACCCCAAAGTTCGAAACCCCAACCCTATAGGGCTAAGTTAAAGGCACGAAAGCCAGAAACACGGAGCCCCTTGGAAGTTTGGGAAGTCCGCCCTTGCTTGCTGACTCGAGTGCGAAAGGGCCTAGGTTTAGGGGTTAGGGTTGCGTGGTGAAGGGTTTAGGGTTTCGCGCTAGGGTTAGGGTTCAGGGTTCAGGGA